CACGGAGCCGGAGGGTCACGGTGGTCTCAACGACAACAGCCGAATATTGCGTGGAGCCTCAGATCGCGGTTGTCGACGGCGGCGGTAAGGATTGGCCTGTGAGCGGAAGTTTCAGATTTTAAGTAAAGGGCTTCAGTTTGTGAATTTGATAAGTCCCAAGGACTTTATTGCAATTTCAGAAATTTTCATATATTACAATTAAGTTCATGGGTCAAGTTTGTAATTAACTAAAGTATAATTAATATTTTAATATTCATTATTTAACATTTGAAAATAAATATAAGGTCGATTATGGGATATCAACCAATTTGTTGAGATCCAATCTATTTCTATGAATTCCGTAATATCAACATTTCATAGTTTCGTAATTTTCTGTTGAATTTTGATTATATATTTATACGTTGTGCTTTAAAATCATATAAAAAATAAACCACTAATTTATATATTTTCTCTTATCTGTTATTTAGTGTCGTGTTAAAATCAATAAATTAAAATAAGTAACAGGAATAATTTTGTACTTATCCTTAATTTTTCATCTAATTATATATCCGTCAAATGCATATATATATAGAGTTGGGATCCCAACTCTCAAATTATCTATTGCATAAAAAATATAAAAAAATGATAATAATACTTTTATACATTTTGGACTATGGTTAATTTGGTTATGTAATTTTAAAAAGAACAAAAATGACATCAAACCGAAAAACAACCGAATTTTTTAAAAGTAAAGAAACACGATTGATCCAAAATTTAAAATTTTGAACTGAAAAAATTATTTCGGTCGGTTTTGTTATATATTGTGCAATCTAGTACTAACTAATGTGCAATTCGCACAACACTAATGTGCACCCGATATGCATAAAAAATAAAATAATAATAATAATACTATTTTTAATATTATTCGGTCGAATAAATCATTTTGGTTATTTTTAATAACAAAAATGATATCAAACTGAAATAACAGTGATTTAAAAGTAAAAAACAGATAATCGAACCGTAATATAAAATTTCTATCCGAAATTCGAGGTTGGAAAGTTTCGATCTTTAATATGCAGTCTGATAGTTATTAATGTGCAATTCGTCTATCTTTATCGTGCACTTACATAGTGGACATATTTAGTGATTTGATTCATACCAAACTAGACCCGATCTGAAATAATCGGATTTTTTCGATTGATTGTCCAGATAATCTAAATAATATATGATTTATTATTAATATTACAAAAAGATATTAACTATTTTAATACATTTATTTAATATTCTTATATTATATTTTGGTTTAAAAGACACATTATATAAAAAAATCGAATCAATATTGTGCACTACCACATATAATAATGTGCATTTTGTCTAACATTATTGTGCAGTCAATTGATCATTTTTTTTATGCATTTTAATTGTATAAACTTTAATAATGAGTATTCTAGTTAACACCATTTTGCAATTATAAATTTATTTATTATTGTTTGGTGAAAGTAAACAATATATATAGACAAAATATAAAAATACTATTTTATATAGTTCGGTCAGTCCACGTTATTTCGTATTTTCTTTGTTTTTGTTTTTAGTAAATGAAGTGATTTCCAATTGTGTGAGTGTGTGTGTGAGAGAGAGAAAGAGAGAGAGAGAGAGAGAGGAGACAGAGACGTTATAGAGCTTTGGAAATTGGAGAGAGATTACAGCTGGTGGGTGTGTTTAATGTGTAGGTGCGGGTGTGTTCCATGATGTTGGTGTTTGAAGAAAGACCACAATACCCTTAATGTGTTCAAAATTTTGGCTTTTTTTAAGCCGTTAGATGATCAGATTATGTAGCTAAGATTTATTCTTATTTCTTTCATTAAGTACCATTCTCACCGGAGCGTGACCCTATATATATATATATAGATTTAGGATCACATGACAATGGTAGATAGTGAAAGAAATAAGAATGAATCTGGACCATGGGATCAATCATATTAATGGTTAAGATGAAGTCAAAACATGGTCAATCATTAATGGCAATGTGGTAATTATTTGATTATAATGGGTCAAATATATGCATTTGACCAATAATTAAGGGCAATCTAGACATTTGTTTAAAACACACCAATATGTGGGGCCCACCACCTCCAACATTAAACCCAATCACCTACCCCTACCCCTGCCCGTCAATCACCTACCCACCCTCCANACTCTCTCTCTCTCTCTCTCTCTCTCTCTCTCTCTCTCTCTCTCTATCTCTCTCTCTCTCTCTTCCCACACACACAATTCTACACACACCGGTACACACACAATCGCAGGCACCCCGGTCACAGCCACGGCTCCGCCGCCAGCCGCCGGCCCTCAGCCCAACGCCTGACCGCCTCCCGTCGCCGGCACGCCGCCGTAGTCGTCCTCCTCCGCCGCTGGAGTCCATTTCCTCGCCCGTCGTCAGAAAACTCAGAACAAAAATGCCGAGACTAGCATCTCGATTGCACGGTTTGAGAGTCGATGTCAGGATTGTATTTCCACCGGATCTACAGTCCCCCAAATCGCAATCTCCGGCACCACCCTTAAAGGAATCCCATCCCCAGCCTCCGGTGGCGACGTCATCGCCACACTGATGGCGCCAAATTCGCCGCGAATGGCAGACGATAATCTGCAGAATGATAGTTTTGAATTTTGGTTGTGGGTCATTTTTTGAGAATTTGATATATCATGGGGACTTATTTGCAAAAATTTAAATTTTTATGTAATATTCTATAGTTCTTAAATTCAAATTCGATTTGTTAATTTTAATAAACTAGTTAAATTCGAGTCCGTTTACTTATTAACAGTTAGCTCACGACTTGATTAAGCTTTAAGTCGTTTGTGACTTGTGAGATTGTGTTGGGTTACAGTTTAAGTCTAACAAATTAATAATGACAGATTCTTTATAGCGGAGAAAAAAATGGAGAATGAAAAGAAAAAGAAAAGGCAAAAGAAGTACCAAACTTCACATCACATATGAAGTCTTGTGAAGTTGTGTTTGAAGTTTAGAACTTTTAATATTTATTTCACTTTAGTACATGAGAGACAATTGTATAATTTAGTGGAAGTAAATTCACACACATTAATGATAATCTTCCGGGTATGAAGAAGCGGGAGTGCACCACAATAGGGTGTGAGGAAATGCTCGTTAAATTATTCGTTATATTTATACGTAATTACGTAATTGAAACCGCCTACTTATTTAAAAAATTAAAAGATTTTACCAAAATATCACCTTGCTTAGTGTTGTTACCGGTTGGTTCGATTGAACCGGTCAATCGAAATGTTTATAATGAAATATTCGAGTCAAACCGATCAACCGAAATATTGTAATTAGTGATTACCAATTTGAAGAGTAATATATGATAACCGATTATTAAAGACTAAATGCACATTAAGGAGAAATAAATTGCACAATAACATATCTGAATATGCACATTAAAGATAAAAAAATAAATAAGTATCAACGCGCTACATAATGCATAATATAGCTATTTGGTTGATTTGGTCGAACCGACCTACTGAAATGTAAACATCGAATCGAAAAAAAAGTATTTTTAAAAGAAAAAAAAAATCGAACCGAAATTTTTAGTTATGTTATTTTCATTTGATATTGTGCAATATATTAGTCATTAATGTGCAACTTGTATAACCATAATGTGCACTCGTAATACATAAATATATATATATATATATATATATATAATATTTTTTATATAGTTTGGTAATTTTAGTTATATTGATTATTTTTAGAAAATAAATCTGACATTGAACTGAAATAATTGTGATTTTAATTAATAAAAATAATTTATCGAACCGAAATATAAAAATTTGAATCGAAAACTCTAATTTGGTCGGTTTTGCTTTCGCTATCTATTGCGCAATCTGCTAGTCGCGATAAAGTGCAGCATCTTATTTTATAAAGTACAACGTGTTGTTTTATAAAGTGCAACGTATTGATATATAAAGTGCACTGACGAAATTTTGGTATGTTAGCATGCTTGTGTTTTTTTTTTCTTTTTTTTGTAGACAAATGATATGATGGATGCTAAAATATATGTATCTCCATTTTTTAGATTTATGTTGCGTGGTATTTTTTGGTGGGAGCTATTATCTATTTTATTAGATTTATGTTACGTGGTATTTTTGAGGAAGCTATTGACGTTAATTGTGGAGTGTGATGATAAAGTGCACCGTATTGTTTTATAAAGTGCAACGTGTTGTATTATAATGTGCAACGTGATAGTCGAAATGTTGCATGTGATGCATGTTTGTTTTATAGTGGCAATGTGATAGTCATTAGTGTACAATTCGTCGACCAATAATGTGCACTTACAACATAAACATGTTGAATGATTTGTCGCAAACCAAACTAACATCGTACTGAAATGATCGGTTTTTTTCGACCGGTTAATTGGATTACATTAAATAATCGAAATGATTTATTATGTATATTATAAAATACATTTAGTATTTTAATATTTATGTTTAAATCTTATAATATTTATGGTTGAAATATAATATAAAAAATATCAAAATTTATTGATTGTAAATATAATAATATTTTATAATGTGTGTTTCTACACCCTATGTGCATTTCATATAATATTTTATATATTTTTTTCATATGATATTTAACATGTTTGGTATTTCTATTGTACATTTCTATATGCATTTTATATAACATTAACACTTTTGAAGTGCTAGTGCCCTAAAAAAATAAGATGCAACTTTACAAATTGATTTTCAAGCAAAAAAAAAAGTTGAATAAATAAATAATCAAAGCTGCTAGAGTACCTCTGTTAAATTGCACATTTACCCATCATTAATTATTCATTATCTTTTATTAAATTGCACATTTACCCACAGGATTTAAAGTGTAATATATAAAAACTTAAAAAATTACATAGAGGACCTTATTGTCTATCTAATTCTCACAAAAAAGCCCCACAGTAGCACTGTTCACAGCTTAGATTTTAACAAGTTTTTATCCCGTCAACAATGCGGCGATGCCACCGCCGCACGGGGAGAAGATGAAGGCGGCGACATCAGACGCGGCGGCAACCTGCCTCAGCCCTACTTCGTTGATGGACGCCATGAACGACATGAGGTTGGTGGCCATGAATGCTTCTCAGTACCGCGCCGACGGCCTTGACGGGCGTGTTGTGACGGCCGTGGCGTTGATTACGGTTGTCGCGATGGTGGTGGTTATGTCCACGGCGGCGGCGACATCGGAAAAAATAGGAGCTACGACGGTAGTGGTTATGTCGTGATGGCCGAGGAATGGCCGCAGCATCTGAAAAATTTTCCGACCTGATGGTGTGTGTGGTTGTGTGTCCGTTCGTGTGTGTGTGTGTGTGTGGTGTGTGCGCTGAGGGCGGCGACGACGAACGGCGGGTGGCGGGCGGTGGGTGGTGGCGACGAATGGCGGTTGGTGAGCGGTGGCGGTGTTTTTTCGACGTTCTTAATAAGGTATAATTTTACTTTTTTATTAGTCATTAGATTATCCAATCTAGTGAACACCATTTATTCTTATTTCTTTCATTTAAAACCATTCTCACTGGAACCCAACCCTATATATATATATATATATATATATATATATATAGTTAGGACGTTTAAATGTATTTATTTAATTACCGTAGGTTAGTTTAGTTAGTTTAATTAATTATTAGTTTTGTTAGTATTAGTTAGTGATTTATTTGTTAGTTGGCGTGAATAGTTTGTTAGCATAATTATTATTAGTGGTTAGTATATTCATGCATGATTGTTAGCATAGGTTTATATATATATTTAGCCGTAAGTTAGGTTAGTTAGTACTAGTGGTACCCCGTGCGATGCACGGGAACAATATTAAATTAACAATATTATAAATAGACCTCGAGTTTGAGTCAATGGCGGAAGTGAAAACTACTATTGATCGTATTTAAAAGGAGGAAGAAAAAAAAATTATAAATAAAAGAGAAGGATAAACAATACTTAATAATTATAAATTAAAGATTCGAGATCAAACAATGTAAAATAATTTTGTATAAGAGAATATAAAAAAAATTGATTACACACCATTTCAAAATTATTATTATACTTTTTTGTATGGTTAACTTAGAATATTTGTAAAAATAATAGTAATTAGACCGATGAAAATTAGCTTCTTAAAGTAGATAATGGATTTTAGTAGTAATTATGAATTAGTTTCTATTTTATTTTATTTTTTCTTTTTAAAGATAATGAATTTCTAGTAATAATTATGAATTGATTTCTATTTTATTTTATTTTTTCAAATCTGTATAGATAAGAGATGAGATTTTTTAAACACCTAAGATCGTATGAAATGAGATTTTGTAACATAAGAGATAAGCTCGTGTAGATTTATACTAAAAATAGGAAAAAGAAAAACAAATATTTATTATTAAAACGATAAACTAAGAAACAGGAAAAAGAGAAACAAATCTTTACACAATTAATGAGCAGATTTTTTTGCCTATTCAGATTTGTCCAACAATTACTATATATAGGATATATTTAATGATTTTGGCGGGAAAAAGTTTCTAAATTTATAAAAAAGTTATTCTTTTTATATAATGATAGATTGTAAGCGTTATGATTAGTTTTGTTAGGTTAGTATTTTAATGCCGTGAGTTTAATTAGTTTAGTTAAGAGTTTTAATTATTTTGGTAAGTCTTGATATGCAAGACATTTAGTTACCTTAGGACTAGATATATTTTCCATAAATTAGAATTATAGTTGGTATAGGACTAGATCTAGTTTTTCTTATAAATACCCCATCTACTCATTCAATTTTATTATCAATGAAGAATTAATTAAAACCGAACATATGTTCAATTGTCTCGTGAGTTTACTCCTGTGACTTTACAAGCAAGATCGTATTAGATATAAGACCAACATCCGATTTTCTTTCACAAACAGCGAAGTACGAAGGCGTCGACGCGCGTATTAGCAACCTATCGCGAAGGACTAAGGCGTCGGCGCGGGTTTCGAGCAAGTCGAGTTGGTGAGACACACGATCCTTCATCAGCACGGTCGGCTGGGCTGAACGTGGGTCCTCGGGGCTGCTCACGTGAAATGTCTTGGGCTGATTATATAGGACTTGCTAAGGCTTAAATGATAATTCCAACACTTAGAAAAATATACCCGATATGGGATATTATATGCCTAAAGAATAGACCGGTTAACCACCTCTGACACCTCTGACACACGCATACTGTGTGTGTATGGACGGGCAGTGCGGGTCGGACAGCTCACAAGATCCGTGCAGCTCCTAGGGCAGATATCTCACTCCTTTATACATAGGAGTGAGTCTTTTCTTGTGACTTACGATTTATTCATTCTTTACTTTGGAAAATTGAACAAACACATACTTACTTAAGAATCGGAGGCTCTTCATCGGAAAAACCCCCAGTGTGAGAGTTCTTTGCAGGTACGCGGTGTTCTACCGGCGAGGAGGAGGAAGACGAGCCAATTTCCAGCCGGTCTGAGTGTTTTGTGTTACAATTTGGCGCCGTCTGTGGGACTTTCGTTCGAAAAGTGGTGTGCTGAGATTATTGAAGCTTGGTAGCTATGGCGGACGAAATTCCTAGAAGAGATTTGCAGGTGTCGTCCGACGAGGCGTGGATGACGACGAGACCGTTCGGAGCAGGTCCCCCTCCGGGCTTCTCCGGACCTATACCTACATCGGTGACTCCGATACTTGTTCCACAAGGTGTGGGGGTCACGCCGGTGCAGTTGGAAGCCGATGTGGGCTCAAGCCGAGCTCTGGAGGTCCGTACAGCTCAGTGAGTGGCGATCCCAACGCCGTTGCAACCAGATCTGGCCGTGGCGCCGCAACAAGGAGCGGTGGTGCAGGGACTAGCACCGCCGCAGGTGGAAGAGCAGTGCCTCGGCCAGTAGGTGGTGATGACTAGGCAATAGATGCAGCAGATGATGGCCAACGCGGCGGCACAAGCGGTCCAGCAGGCCACCCAAAGCCTTTCTCGAGTGGCTGTTGGGACGACGATGGTGGATGAGGATGTGTCTAGTTATGGAGGGGATGGAGCTCTACGAGATCGGGAGGTGGAGAGACTTGCGGAGCATGTGAGACAGATGCAGGCCAAGATGGATGGTCGACCTGATAGGCGTGCTCGAGGACACCCGTTCTCGGGAGAAATCTTGGTTGCGCCGTTACCAGCAAATTTCAGGGACATGAGCTTGGTGTTCGATGGGACTTCTGACCCGTCGAGGCATGTAAGGGCGTTTGAGAACTTGGCTGTGTTACATGGTTATTCTGATTCTGTTAGTTGCAGGGTGTTCTTTTCGACCTTGAGAGGAGGTGCGCTCGACTGGTTTCAGCAGCTCCCTCATGGATCGATCAAAGATTTCGATGATTTCTCAGAGAAGCTGATGACCCAATATGCGAGCACTGTGGCGCAGGAGAAGACGTATTTGACTCTGATGGCCATGAGGCAGGGGGAGAAAGTGTCGTTGCGCAAGTATGTGGCTCGATATAATCAAACTTGTTTGGAGATCCCCACGGCCGCTGACGAGGTGAAGGCTAGAGGGTTGATAAGGAGTTTACGAGCAGGGCCTTGTCGAACATCCTTAGCCAAAATCCCTGCTCGTACGTATGACGATATGCTGAATAGATGGAAGAAGTATATTAATTTCGAGGAGACGGAGGCGGAGTTTGATAAGTTGGAGGAGTTAGCTGTAATAGCCCATTTTGACTTAATGTAAATTACGTACTTAGTTTCGTAATGTTCATATTATTCTCAGAATCCAAAGTATAAGTCCAATTATGTTCAATCGCCCGATAAAAATATTATTGAATCAAATCATATTTAATCGGGCGGTAAATATGCTAATCTCGCGCTAATCATGCGTAATCGTGAGCATAATTGTACTTAATGATTCCTTAAGTACATTAATTATGTTCATTCAAACTTAAGTGATTCAATTAATCATCATATAACCTTAATCATTGGTCATTGCACGGCTAGAGTGCCTAATTACTTTTTAATCACCTTAACCTAGGTTAATCACGCATAATCGAGCCCTAAACGTGCTTAACTAATTAATGAACTCAAGTGGATGGAACTTGGGGGCAAATTCACGTGATATCTATCATTCCTAGCCAAGTGGCCTCTTTGTGCCAAGTAAATGGTGACTAAGCAACAAAAAGTACACCTCGTGGCCTTAGGACGCGACAAATGGCACGAGCTCATTGGCTATGGATATTACTTCACATTTTCATCCATTTTCACGGTTTATAAATCAAACTTTTGGACATGTTTTTAGAATATTACTTAAGCTATTTCCTAAGCAACTCTTAAGCAAACAATAAACAAGATTAAGATATTTTAATCCAAACTCACCGTACGCGCGCGAAGAAGAGAAAGGGTCCGAATCAACACCAAGTTCTTGTCAATTTTCTTCGGGCAATCAAAGGGTAATATGTTACTAACCCTGTTATGATGTTATTTCTATCATGCCACGCTCAAATTATAGGTCTAAGTTCATGTAATGATCGAAAATGCCCTCGGGTGCACATTTTAAACCCTAACGATTCATCTCTTTATATAGTCAACTTCTCTCGAGCAAACCATGCATCATTAGTCCTTATTTAATGTATTATGTTCAGTTTTAAAAGATAGCCCGAGATAAGTATTCATTTGGTTGATGAAATGGCAAAGGGAAGTGGACCGTGCACGTAGCACGCGCCCACGGGCCGTGTCTTGCCCTACAAGGGTATCTTTCATTGTGATCAACTTGGTTAGGGACATTTGTGTTCCAACAGCATTTAAATGATAAATTATGGTAAATCAACTCATGTTGCTCGAGAAAAGTTCATGTTTGGTCGAGGGTACACGTTAGGGCCGTCGGACGCGCCTATCGCGCACGCCGTGGCCCATCATGTCAAATAAGATCAAATTTCATGACCCTCAGACCCATGTAAGTATAAATGTGTTAATCATGTCATGTTATGTTATTTTGATCAAAGAAAGTGGCCAAACGGCCGGCAAGGGCCGGTCACGGCATGCTGCCGCACATAGCGGCCATGCCGGCAGTGCTGTCCCAGTGTCATGTATACGCGACCCCGAGACAGTCACTCGTGCCACGCACAGTCGACCTCGGGTCGTGCCATCAGCGCACCCGAGTAATTGCTACCATGCCTTAGTGAACCCGGGTAAGGTTCACAGGCCTCGGGACGTGCCCTGCTGCACGCCCGAGCAATCAGGATGGCCCGGGACGTGCCCAACAGCACGCCCAGTGCCCAGTTAGCCCGGGTACGCACCTTTTCCGCGTCCCTCGCGCCCGGCCAGTGCCAGGGCCAGTGCCAGCCGCACTGTCCGCACCCAGCAGCGCCTAGTGCCGAGGCCAGTCATGCCTAGCCCGTGTCCAGTGCCGTGCCATGGCCCAGCAGGCCCGGCACGGGACCGAGCCATGCCAGCCCGTGACCACCCGGTTTAGTGTGAACCGGTGGTCCAACCCGGTCCGATTCAGGCTGACCCGGTTTATTCAGTTAGCGAACCGGCCAGTTTAGCCGGCGGTTCAAGTCCGTTTTGGTTCGTAATTTTCAGTCCGAATCTTATTCTGAAATTTAAATTATTTTCCGAGCCGAACCAGATCAATGAAGCATATCAGTGTAATTTCCGGACTTAAAAATATTTTGTGAACCCTTAATGTTTTCTGTTATATCCGGATATCATATTAAGTCGAGTCGAGCA